TGCCATGGCCTGACTACCTCAGGGAACTAACTATGTTTCATTAGCTGGGTGACTCACACCACCCAGTAAATACCTATTGAACTCGGGGACCTAGGAAGTGGGGTCACCACCTCCAGCCTCCTTCCGAGTGTGTCAGAGCCGGGAAAGCTGCCTGCCCCGAGGATCTAAAGAAGGTGGGGCTGTGGATGAGTGAGGGAAGGGGCACCTGCCTCTCAAGGCCACCACCTGCATCTGGGAAGGTGGCTGTGCAGCACGGGGCTCACCAGCAGGGGCTGGAGAGGGGGGGAACCCAAGCTCATCGGTAACCCTGTCATTGAAGAGGGCCAGCCCCAAACTGTCACCCACAGAGTGGGCTCTCAACCTCACTCCTTTGCTGGCTTTCCCTTCAAGATACAAAGCGAAACCCAGGTCCTCAAAGCCCTTGTTGAGGCACGTAAGGCATCCATCCACCTGACAGGTCCTGGGAGAGGGCCTGTGGATGGACGTCTCAGGGGGCAGGGAGGAAGTGGGGAAAGGCGCCGAGCCAGGGAAAGGGAATGGTGCTGGGACAGATAAGAGGAGAGGGGCAGACCTCCAAAGATAGGCCAGGCTTGATACCAGGAGTCCAAGACCTCAGTCCTAGCACCGCTTGGGTGCTCATAGGCTGAGAGAATCAAGCCCTCATCTGTGAGAGGGGCACCATCAGGGCTGCCGTTAAGAGGCAGGCGGTTGTAAGGGGCGTCGTCATCGTTATTATTATTATTATTATTATTATTATTATTATTAGATTAGGAGTTGTTAGGCCCAAGGGAAAAACAATGAGTGATATGTTTTTAGAAGAAAGAACAGACCCGGGCTGAGGAGACCCCCACGTCCACTCTCTCCTCCAACAATTCCCCACACTCAGGTTTCTCAACCATTTCAATCCTGAAGAAAATACTGGAAATTGACCACCACATGCCAGACAGGGACACTGCTTCCTTGCCCCCATCTAAGCCCAAGTTCCCACTGGCACAGCCACCTGCCCCCCATCCAGGGTCACACCCCAACACACTACGAATATGCGTCAGAGCTCTGACAAGCTCTACCCAGGGGCGTGCTGACGTTGGGGCCCTAGCTTGGCTGTCACATCGGTGGGGGAAAGGGTTCTGGCCTATGGCCCCTGCATGCAAGGAGCGAATGTGTATGCAGCAGAATGCAGGGGGCCTGGGGTGACCACTGATGGGTCTGCTGGAAAAAAATCTGGCTAGCATGCTGTTTAGGATGTACGGGCTAACCTCCATCACACACACAGCATGAGTGTGGGCGCGCGCGCACGCACACACACACACACACACACTGTGGCTGAGTTCTTTCTATACCACGGTCTGTGAAACAGACACCCCCCCATTTTCCCTGCAAAGACTGACAGAGGGAAGTGAGGGCAACCAAGGCCCCCAAGGACGGCACTGCAACCGGCCGGAGGGTTGGCCAGCAGCCTAAGGGAAATGGGGATCTGGGCCTTTCCAATGGACGTGGACGGGCCTCTGTCCAGCCTTATCCAGAAATCAGGAAGTAGGCGCGGAATCCCATTACCAGCAACTGGCGAGGCTGCCGGTGGCCTTGATGCGATTCCCTCCTGGCCCGCCTGCCATCCCCTGCCACAGGACGCTTTGTTACTACGGAAGAGCCAGGGAAGGTTTCTGTGGGTTGGCAGACTTCAGGGAGGGGGGATCTTTTCTTGTTTTGTTTTCTTGAACCCAGCTTCAAGGTTGCTGTGCAAGCATGCTGTCAAGCCCACCCCCACGCCCACGACCTCTGTGCACATTTCTAATCACTAAACCAGGACCCTACTTTACAAACCCCCCCTCCCTCTGACCCAGGACACACAGAGACCCAGAGACACGTAACAAGAATAACAACGACAACAGTAATAATAGCTCTATGTCGAAACGGTATCATACTTTCACACAGGTGACTTTATTTCATGTGTACTCTTGGGGCACACACCACAGTCACACCTAGTACTTGCACGCAGAGCCTGTAGGCCAACCACGCTGCACGTACAGACTGGCGTACTCACCGCCGATGCCAGACTTGGCACACGGACCTGCACACGCGCCAACGGCCGCCACGCACAGAGCCAGAGTGCCTCCCGAGTGCACATGCAGCGAGGGCTCCATGGACATCGAGACAAGGAAAGGACCTTCCAGGATAAATACTCGCACCAACTCCCTCCTGCACACGCATCACCCACAATGGAAACCCCGAGTACCGGCCCCACCCCCGCTGGACACACATGTCATGATTCTACACCTTTTCTCTTCACTCTGCCAAGGCTCCCAAGCCCTGCACACAGTCAGTCCGTCCTGCACGCCTCTCTCAATGCCCGCAGGCCATGTACACATGCACATGGCCGCCATGGTCTGACTGTACTCTCCAGCCCCTCACTGCTCACTGACACCACACTCTCCCTTCCTGCCCTGGGGGAGGGGGCAAATTCACCTGGCAGGATGGTAAGAGGCTAAAAACTACTGAGTTAAGCGTCTCATTGGGTCTTTC